TCTCCCCCTGGAGACCAGGGTGCTGCTTCCCACACTGTTCTTGTCCCCAACCCAGGTGGTGAAGCACTTGCCCAAAGCCCATGTCCTGGCCTGTGCTCCGTCCAACTCAGGGGCAGACCTCCTCTGTCAGCGTCTCCGGGTCCACCTGCCCAGCGCCATCTGCCGCCTCCTGGCCCCCAGCAGGGACATCTGCATGGTGCCTGAGGACATCAAGGTACCTGGGGAAATACGAAGGGCCAAGGGATGGCGGGAGCCGGGAAGACTCCCAGAGTAGATGCTGGGGCTAGGAAACTAGGAGAACTGGATTCTGATACTCTGTGCGACCTTGGGTTGGCCAGGGCTTCAGTTAACCTTTACATGAAGTGAGAGAGGTGTATAAAATTGCCTGAGGGGCCCAGAGTCAGAGTGAGGGCAAGAATGGGTGAGCCAGGCTGATTCTTCCTCTCCCTTACAACCCACAGCCCTGCTGTAACTGGGATGCAAAGAAGGGGGATTACGTGTTTCCCACTAAGAAGAAACTGCAGGAATATCGTGTCTTAATTACCACCCTCATCACTGCCAGCAGGTGGGGTGTGTGGTGTGTGAGTGTGCACTCGCACATGTAATACAGAGGCAGCAGGCTGGAGAGTGGGGTGAGGGGCCGCCTTAGGTAAGTGTTCAGTTTGGTAGTTGGGTGTCTGGGTGTGACTCCTGCCTGGCCTGACACCTCCCAGGTTGGTCTCAGCTCAGTTTCCCATCGGTCACTTCACCCACGTCTTCATCGATGAGGCTGGCCATTCCATGGAGCCCGAGAGTCTGGTGGCCATAGCAGGTGAGGGGCTCAGGGTGGGCTGTGAGTGTACCACCCTATGTGGTGGCTCCCACCATGTACCTTTCTCCCCACACTACCCTGCCTCTCAGGGCTGATGGAAGTCAAGGAAACAGATAATCCAGGAGGGCAGCTGGTGCTGGCAGGAGACCCTCGGCAGCTGGGGCCTGTGCTGCGTTCCCCACTGACCCAGAGGCACGGGCTGAGCTACTCACTGCTGGAGCGGCTGCTCACTTACAATTCCCTGTACAAGAAGGGCCCCAGTGGCTACAACCCCCAGTTTATAACCAAGCTGCTACGCAACTACAGGTAATTCCTACACTTCGGCACCCTCTGTAGGGTCCCAGTTTGGGGCCTCACCCTCTGCTCCTGTTGTTCAGGGGCAGTGTGATGCATAAAGAAGATAAACTGAAAGGTCAGAGGTCCTCTTTCTAGAGGCATCACTGCTACTGTGTGACTTAGCAAGTGGCTCCACTCTAGAGCAGTTTGCTTATCTGTCCGTTGGAGGATGGTCAGTGGTTCCCAACATTGGGATGTGTCTGGTGTGGGTCACCAATGAAGTTTTCAGGCAATCCAAGGAGAAATGAGAAAAATATGGCCAATGTAGTTTTTTTCAATAGCTTCATTATTATTCAAATTAAAGTGCTGTGCTTCCCTTAATGAGTTCATTCATCTAAAATGCTCAGATGAGTTCCTAAATTCTCAGTTCCTTAGATGAGCCCACTGAGAGTTCAGTAAATGTTAGCAAAAGTGCTATTACTTCGTGTATTTTTGTATGTAATACATCATCTCATCAAATAATGATGAGAGTAGATACTTGTCTTTGTGCCATCCTTCCTTGGTGAAACTGAAACCTGAGGGTGGTGTCCCTAATTTCTTGTTTCATTTTCTTCTAAATTTGACTGGTCTGTGAAATCCATGGGCCAGATGCCCCTTGGAACCACACTCGGTTCTGCTTCCTGTGGTTAACAGGGCCTAGCAGCAGACCGTGGAGATGCATGAGTCTGCTATCTGTGGGCAGGAGGGTAATGTGTGTGGGCCCCGGGCAGGTAGAGCAGGGGTCCCTGATGGTGGGGCAGAGGTAATCGGCCCCAGGTCTTCTCTTCCTTCCTCCTGCCTCCCAGGTCTCACCCCACCATCCTAGACATTCCTAACAGGCTCTATTACGAAGGGGAGCTGCAGGCCTGCGCCAACAAGGTCGACCGAGAGCGCTTCTGCCGCTGGGAGGGCCTGCCTCGACAGGTGAGGCTGAGCAGGGCAGGGGCTCAGGCTGCACCCCCTTTGCCCCAACTGCCCTCCTGCTGAAGGCGCGAGGTAGGAGGCGGCTCTGGGTGGAAGCACAAGGCCCATGCCTTTGTCCCCTTGCCCTGGAATCCCACATTCTCTGATAGGGTTTGGGGTGGCAGGTAGGGAGATCCTGCTGAGGGTTTCTCCTAACCCTGTGTCCAGGGCTTCCCCATCATCTTTCATGGCGTAATGGGCAAGGATGAGCGTGAGGGCAACAGCCCGTCCTTCTTCAACCCCGAAGAGGCTGCCACAGTCACTTTCTACCTGAAGCTGCTCCTGGCTCCCTCCTCCAAGAAAGGCAAAGCCCGCCTCAGCCCCCGAAGTGTGGGCATCATCTCCCCATACCGGAAGCAGGTTAGGCCCTCAGTTCCCATCGAGAGTGGGACACCCCCCCCCCCACTGCAAGATGGCACCTCCTTCATAGCCAGACGATGAGGCAGAGGTTCCAGGAGCTCAAGCTTCTGGTGGCCCTGTAACTCAGAAGAGTTCAGGGGTCAGCTGCCCCTCCCTCTTTGCCCCCCAGCTGCCTGGCTCCCTCTTGCAGTGGGGTAATGGCACGAGAAAGGCACCTATTCCCCATCTTTCAGGTGGAAAAAATTCGTTATTGCATCAACAAACTTGACAAGGAGCTTCGGGGACTGGATGACATCAAGGACTTGAAGGTGACACCAGTTTCGTTCATATTTACTCCCTGCCTTCTGAACCCCTCACTTCCCCACTTCCAGAGACCTCTTCAGGCTCCTGCTCTGATGTGCCAGCCTCTGCCCCACCCTCGCTGCCTAAGCAGAACTAGGGCTCTTCCCAACCCTGCCGCTCCTGGAGATCCCGACTTGTAGGTCTGAGATGGCCCCAGGAAGCTTGCATGTTTAGCAAGCACCCACCGCGATTCTTAACGATAAAGCTGGTTTGAGGCCTCTGCCCTAAGGCTAAAGTCCAACGTCTGTGTCTGACAGAGCATGTGATAGAGTCCCTGCTCACCTCTCCCACCCTCTGAATTAGTCAGAACTTTTGACGTTCTCTAAGGTGGTGGTTCCAGGACTGGCTGCAGATAAGAATCACCTGGAGAGCTTTTATTCCTGTGCCATGACCCTGCCCAGCCAATTAACACAGCCAGCTGGGCAGCGGTATTTTTACAGCTCCTCAGGTGACACAGTGTGCTGCTAGAGCTGAAAACCTGCACTTGAGCATTTAGAGGCCTCTCCTTGGAAATTCTGATTCAGGAGATCTGGGTGGTATATTTTTAACAAGTACTTAGTGATCATACTCAGAAAGTTTGAAAAACTCTACTGTAAGTTACAGTATCCCCTACAGCCCTGTTTTCTTTGAACAGTCTCCAGCCCCCACCTTTTTAACTGGATTCACCTTCAGAATTGAGCTTCCATGGCACCCTCCCAGCCCATTCCCTGCTGTCAGGACTCCTTGCTTCACCTCGCCTGGGGTCTTCTCCACCCCCACTTTGGAGCTGAAGCTCCCTGAGTTGGGTCTTCACCTCTCTCCCCTCCAGGTGGGCTCTGTGGAAGAGTTCCAAGGCCAGGAGCGCAGCGTCATCCTCATCTCCACTGTGCGGAGCAGCCAGAGCTTTGTGCAGCTGGATCTGGACTTCAACCTGGGTTTCCTAAAGAACCCCAAGGTTTGAGGGCTGGTGGTGGCAGGAGTTCTTCCTTCCTTAGGACCTTTACTTCCCATGACGACCACATCTTCCTTCCAGAGGTTCAATGTAGCTGTGACCCGGGCCAAGGCTTTGCTCATCGTGGTGGGCAACCCACTCCTGCTGGGCCATGACCCTGACTGGAAAGCGTGAGCATTCCCACCCTATAATCCCTCTTGGTGGCCGCAGTTCTCTCATTTCAGTTACCTGACAGAGTTTAAGCATCTTGCCCAGAGGCACAGGCCATGGGGCATGATGAAGGCTTAGCCTGCAGCCTCAGTGCTGCTCCTCAGCCCAGCCTGTGCAGCTGTGTGCCAATGTCCCTGTACCCCACAGATTTCTGGAGTTCTGTAAAGAAAATGGGGGGTATACCGGGTGCCCCTTCCCTGCCAAACTGGACCTGCAGCAGGGAGAGAACTTACTCCAAGGTCTGAGCAAGCTCAGCCCTTCTACCTCAGGTATGGCTAGCCAAGGGGAAGGCGGGAGCACAGTGGGGTAGGTAAGGAAGACAAAGCTCACCTCCTTTCTTTCTAGGGCCCCAAAGTCATGACTGCCTGCCCCAGGAGAGGGAGGATGGAGGAGGCCTGTCCCTGCAAGTGGAGCCAGCATGGAGGAATGAGCTCTGAAGACACAGCAGCCGGCCTTCTCACACCAGCCAAGCCTTAACCACCCACCCGACCCTGAACCAGAACCCAGCCCAGCTGCCCCTCCAAGGGACAGGAATGCTGGGGGAGGGAGTTTACAACCCAAGCCATTCCACCCCCTCCTCTGCTGGGGAGAATGACACATCAAGCTGCTAACAATTGGGGGAAGGGGGTGGAAGGAAAACTGAAAAACAAAATCTTGTTCTATGCAAAAGCCTCCATGTCTCCTCAGCCTGGCCCCATCTTCCTGAACTCCCAAGCTGACCCCACAGGCGAGGATGGAACTGTTACACCATGCCCAGGGCCAAACCCCTCCCTGCTAGAGAAGAACCCAGCCCCCAGTCCAGGGGAGGATACCCAGTGGGAGGTGGCTAGGAAGCTACCCACAAGCTTCTAAGTTTAGCCGGTTCCAGACCCCTCCCCTCCCCCACCTCCAAGGCCAGGAGCCAGGCATGACCTCATCCTTTGCTCCAGGACTCCACCCTGCCTGCCCCAGGAGGCCCTGGGAGTTCTTCCTTCACAGACTGGAGCAGCCTGGCAAACAAGTGAAGAGAGATGGACTCTAGGCTCAGAGCCAAGACTGGGGCCAGGAGAGAAAGAGGGAGCTGCCAGATGTGTTGAAGCCTGTGGCCTTTATTCATGCCCCCCACTAAAGTATAGCCAGAGACAAGACACCAGCCCAAAGCAGAAACACCAGGGGCCTGGGACTCTTTTTGAGTTACACCCTTCAAGTCCCCTACCCTAGACAGTGTCCTGTGAGCCAGAAGTGTATAAAGTGCTGGTGTGATGATCCTCTCTCAGGAAGGCCAAAGGGATCAAAAGCCCCACCCCTGAGCCAAGGCAGCAGGAGGGAGGACTCTGCTCTGGGAGGGCAGGGCACTGCCCTAGGTTCCCAGGGGGCTGGGAGGTGGAGGTGGGGGTGGGATGGGGTATGTTGGGGGGCGTTGGCAGGGAAATGCAATGCAGTCCTGGGCCATAGGGAACTGAAAAAGGGAGCCTTCAGCATGGAGCCCTGGGAAGGGGAGCCGTTTCTGCACCTCTGAACAGGGGGGTGCAGCAGGAGAGGCCTTGGGGAATCTCAGAGAATGGGACAGCCCCTCCGGCGCTTGTTCTTGCGGACCTGGAGGCCAGCCCGAGTGGCCATCTCAAATACCTCCCGGACCCCCTCCTTGGTCTTGGCTGAGCACTCCAGGTAGCCGAAGGCGCTGATCCTGTTGGCCATATCCCGGCCATCTTCGGATCGTACTGGCTCCTGGGAAGACAAGGCGAGTGCTCAACAGAGGCCCAGTACAGGGGTGCTTCTCCCCACCTCACCTCACCTGTAGGTACCCCCACAGTAGGTACCCACAGTACCTAGAACAGATCATCTCTAGCCCTGGCCCTACACTAAGCACCCAAGCTCCGGCCACCCTGGCTTTGGGGCCAGAGATCCAAGACTTATTCTCACATTCAAACTCTGCATCAGCCCTATATGCTGTGGTGCACTTCTCTTATCTGACCTCCCTGCTTTTATTGCAGTCTTCCAATCCATCCTCTGTGGCTGCCAGAGTAACTCCTAAAATGCAGATCTCACGCATCTGTCTCTAGGTTAAAAACTTACCATAATTATCTTTGCAGGATAGTCCATATTCCTTATCTTAGCAGCTTTCTCTAACTCTAACCCTCTGGTGAGAGTCACTTCCCAGGTCCCCAGAAAAGCCAGCTGTCTCACTCTGGGCCTCTCTCCAGTCACTTAAGGCTGGCCCTTGCATATTCACATCACCCACACCTCCCCAGGTATACTCTGATGGCATTATCTGCATACCCCCACAAAACAGCTATTTTAAGAAGCTGTCTCTGAAGACAGGTATTTTCTTACTCATCTTTAAATAGCCCCAACTCCAAACAATGGACAACATGAATAAGTTTAAGTGCCAAGTGACCTTGGGTAAGTCACTTCATTCTCTGATACGTCATCAGATACTGGACCTGCTGGTTCACCCTCACCAGGGTGCAGACTCCAGGAAGCAGGAGGTGGTACCACTGATTTGGTAAACAGGCAGCCTGCAACCCCTCAGGGTGCCCTCCTCCCTAGGGCCCCCAGCTGACAGCCCCACCTACCTGCTTCATCTTCGCCAGCTCTCTCCTGGTATGCTCATCGTGCCTCAGGTCCTTCTTATTCCCCACTAGGATGATGGGCACGTTGGGGCAGAAGTGCTTCACCTCTGGGGTCCACTTCTCAGGAATGTTTTCTGAACAGACATGTCCCAATAGGTGTTGGTGCCTCCACACAGGCTAGAAAGCTCTCCTGAGGGGGGCCCCTTGTAGGGGAACAGCAGAGTCTTTGGGGCTATTCAGTGTAAAAGTCCCTTTCACAGCTCAAAACTCTTCCCTCTCACAGTGCACCCTCCTCTGAGCCTTTCCAAGAGCCAGAGTTACCACAGTGAAGGAGACTAACAGGCCCCACAGCCTCAGCCTCTGAAGGTGGCTGAATGAGCCAGAGCCAGATCTACCTCTGACTGGTTGATGCCAAGGGTTCTCAGCACCCCCACCCCCCCCATACACACACACAACACTCCCACCTCACCCAGGCTGTCGGGGCTGTCGATGGAGAAGCACATGAGGATGACATCAGTGTCCGGGTAGGAGAGAGGCCGTAGGCGATCATAGTCTTCCTGTCCTGCTGTGTCCCACAGAGCCAGCTCCACCTGACACACACGGCTAGTGAATAGCTTGCCTAAGGACTCCAGTCACACATACACCCTCATGCTGCCACCCAGGGGTTCCCTCAAACCACCAGTCCTTTAAGGCTCACTGCACATCTACTGAGCACCTGCTGTGTACCAGGAATAGTGCTCACAACAAATTAGGGCAGTATTTTAAGAGACATCAGTGCTTGATCTTTGTGTAATTAATAAGTCACCATGGTGGGCACCACTATTTAATTAATTAATCTTCACAAGAATCGTTTGAAGGAGGTCTTACCATTTTGCAGTCAGGGGAGCTTAAGCTCAGAGGCAAAGGGACTGAGCCCAGATCACAGAGACAGTGTGTAGAGAACCCAGAGGTATATCTAGATCTCTTTAGTCTGCAGTTTCACTCCCTAGCTGTTACTGGTTCCAGCAGACAGTGGAGCAAGGACATGGGGAGGTGATGAGTAAGGACAGTCTAGGTTCAAAGTGATGGGCCAGGGTTCCCAGGGTAGATGGGAAGGCGGGGCTCTTTGCCTTCACCTGCTTGCCATCCACCTCTATGTCTGCGATGTAGTTCTCAAAGACAGTAGGGACATAGACTTCTGGGAACTGATCCTTGCTGAAGACGATGAGGAGGCAGGTCTTCCCACAGGCCCCATCCCCCACAATCACCAACTTCTTTCGGATTGCAGCCATGGCTGAGGCTAGCAGAGAAGAGACAAAAAGGATTTTGGGAAAAGCCAGTAAATCCAAAAACACATCTGGGGCCCCCAAGACCTCCCTGGAAACTGAGGCATCCAGCAAAGGGAGGCAAAGGGGATTGCTCAGGCATGTTCTTGCCAAGAAGCAATTGTTCAGGCAACTGAGCTTGAAATTCCTAATCTCAGGGTCAGGGACAGGTCTCCCCACAGATGAGTTAGAATACAGAAGAGGGTGGAAGAACCACTCACTTTTGGAGCCGAAAACATGAGTTCTGATTTAATCCACTCCCCAGCTGTGGGACCCTGGACACCTAGAGGGGTACTCAGGGATCAGGAACATGTCCAGAAGAGCCCACTTTGATCTACATTATGTATCAGAGTTTCAAGACAGACTTCATTGTTACCAGCATTTTAATACTTTTAAAGTTCAATCATTCTAGTCCAATCTAGAACACATTGTCCCTCAGTCAGCATAGGACATGCCTGCCCAGTCACACATGAGAAGTCCCTCTCCCAAGACCACAGGCTAGCAGAACCAGCTACCAGATGGGAGGTGGACACAGCAACTATGCTGGGCATATCCCTTGGTCCCAAGAAGCCATGAAGGTAGATGGTGCACTTTCCATTGTGACAAACTACTAAGTGAAGCTTGAATTCAGAATCATGGCAACAGTGACACTCGATGTGGGGCTGTGTGACTCTCAAGTCTGTTGCCTTTTCTATATTATCACCCCAGAGGCAGGAAAGAAAGCAGAGGGAGGGAAACCCAGACAGCAGTGGCAGCAGGCGGCTGGCTTCCCTGGCCCTCCCCATCCCGGTCCCCAAAGCTCTGAGCCACACAAAGGAGGCTCAGTCCCTGTAGCGCCCACAGCCCACATTCGGGCAGCCTGCCTTTCTTCCCCGCCTTCCTCCTGGGCCTGGCAGCAACACTGGGTCACTCAGCCCTAGGCAGAGGACAATGACCACACTGTCGGGGGCCACACATGCTGCACAGCAGAGTGACCAAGAATAATCCACCAGGGAATCACCTCCACCCACTCCCTGGAACAGCCCCTTCCTCCCTTCTGTCCAACTCACCCCAAGGCCCTGCCCACCTATCCCTGTGACTCAGGACAAGGAGTCAGCTTCCTGGGGTTTCCATATGTCCCCCCACCCCCAACGCACATGAGCGAGCATCTGTGCAGTTCATCACACCTTCCCAGCTTCCCCGCCCCAAGCAGAGCCTCACTTCCTCCTTCCCTGGGGAGAGGAGCTGACCTCCAGCCAGCTGAAGTTCCCAGGCCTCCAGCCGGGAAGGAAGAGAGGGCGGGCTCTGGAACTGAGATGAAGTCTAGGCTGTTGGGAAGGGGGAGGGGGCTGCAGCCTGGGCTGGGAGGAGCCCCCCAAAAAGAGACAAACGAGGGCAGTCCCAGCACCAGCCAGGCAGGGAGCAGTTAAGAAAGGGATGGTAATCTGATCTCTGCCCAAAACCAGGCTTTTTTTCTCAGTCCCACATCCTGTCAAACTGGGCTAAACTCTACTCTCCACATACCACCACCACCTCACAGTACTGCCTTAGTGTGCCTTTTAGGAAGCAAACACTCCAGCCCAAGGCTAGTTCTCAACAGTGGGATCCTGTGTGCCTTCTCTCCCCTCCACACACCCATGAACAAAACTGGGATGAGAGGAAATGGATATGAGTCAGAATTTATAGAAGTTGAGAATACACAGCCACTCTCCCCAGCATAGAAGGGGCTCTCCCTGATACCCAAAAGACAGGCAAGAAGGCATGCACCATGCCAGCAGATTTCCTCCAAAAATGGAAATTTTTTAAAAAGCGAATTGCCTAGAAATTCCTCCCAGGTGACCAACACCCCCCACCCACTCCCACTAGTTCCAGTTCGACTGGCTTAGCTGTGTGGACACAGGCTCGGGTAGCCCCAATCTGGGACAGGCAATGTCGATGGAGAGCAGTCACCACTGGGGTGAATACCAGTTGCTTAGGCATGAGTATGGCACTGCCCTGCACCAGCAGGGTGGTTCAGGTGGCACCAGATGGGAGGCAGAGGCCAGACCTCCGCGGCAAGGCCCCAGATCAATTAGAAGATGTTCCTTTCAGGCTATGGTTGGGCCAAAAGAACTGGCACAGGCCACTAGGCCCAAGGCCAACATGGCAAAGACAACAGTTCCCCAGAGGAAGTGCCCCACTGACCCTAACAGGGGGCAACCAAACCCCACACAGGGCCTGGAATCCCTGGAGCCTACCCTAAGACAAGAGGTCCTCCCTCTCCTCAATCATTCTCCTGATTTCGACGGCCCAGGGGCCTGCTGAACCCTGCCGACCACCCACGAGGTCTAGGGAAGTTATCAGATACCTCATTCTCAACTTTAAAACCAGAAGCCAGGGCGGAACTCAGCCTCGGTCTTCCAGCCCAAAGCCCCAGGATAACTTTTAGCCAGGTTGGGGAGTGTAAGAGGGGGCTGGGAAGGAGGCAATTCTTAGACACACACAAGGGGCTGAGTGAGTCCTTCCCAATCACCCCTTCCGGAATCTCACCCAGGCGGGCTCCAGGAACCGTCCCGAGCGGCGTCCAGGCCCCGCCGAGTAGTAGCAGACCCCCTGGTAACACCCCGCCCCTATTCCTGCCATTCCCCAGGCCAGGCCGGGGGTAATTCCCACCTCCACTCGGCCCGGACCCACACCCGAGCCAGGTCCACAACGGGCCGCCGGCCTGGGAGCTACGACGTCGGCGCTGGGGCTCCTCTGCAGAGACCCAAGCTGCCCCCTCACCGCTGCCCGGCGGGGCGGGTTCCGGGAAGCCGTCAGGGGTAAGGAAGGGACTCCGCCTCGGACACCAGGAGGCAGCGGCCCGGCGGGGCAGTTCCCGGGAGTCCCCAGCCGCAGCCCAGGGAGGGGCCGAGCCGGCCCGACCTCCGCTCAGCCCAGACGCGCGTCCTAGCTCCGGGAAGGCGGCCCGCGCTCGGGCCAAAGCCCATCCCCGGCCGGCGCCCCGAGCTCCGGCTGAGCGGAGGAAGGGGAAAGTGCCCTCCCGAGGGCGAGTTCCCGGGACGCCGCGCCGCCGCCCGCCGCTGCCCGCCGCTGCCCCACGGTACCTTCCGCTGCGCCGGCTCCAGCTGCGCGGCCGGTGCCGGAGGCTGAGACTGACCCGAGGGGGGCCCGGGGCCCGCCCGCCCCGCCCTCCTTCAGCGCAGCGGCGGGAGGGGCCGGCCCGGCAGGGGGAGGGACTGGCCGCGGGCAGCCCTTGGCTCCGCCCGCCCACCGCCCCAGCCCGGGGCCACCGCGGGTCGGCTCCGCCGGTGGCCGGGGGTCGGGGCGGTACCTGGACTGTAGGGGCTGGCGGGACCCCCGAGGACTGCCTCTGCCCCGCCTTCCAGCCCCTAGGGGAGGACCGGAGTCCGGAAAGTTGAGAGGTGCTCAGGGGGGAGTCGGGAAAGAACCGCTGCTGCCCTCCCGTGGCCAGCCAGTCACCCGCGCCTACACCACCTGAGACCTCGCGGGAGGCGGGACTGGAAACCTGCGTCCGCCCTGTGCTCCTGCAATCATTTCCAAGTACAGCCCAACATCACTCCCTTGCCTTGGAGGACTTTCAGAACCTTTGAGACTCAGACCACCGTTCCACTTCACAATTCCCTTCCTTCTCCCTGCCTGGAATCTCCAGTCCAGTTCCTACCTACCCCTCAAAGGGCACTCCTGGAAATCCTTCTGGATACCGCGCTGGGAATTCAGTTCCCACCCCGACAGCATTATTTCTGTGCTACTAGGTACATTTAGCGCAGTGACTTACCGCTTGGAATTATTTACCTACAAGTGTATCTCCCTCCAAGCAAGGTGGCTGAGGAGGTAAATGGGGGATGAGGAAGTCTACCAACATTTTATTAGTTTATGCTGGGCACACTGTGTAGCTGAGCCCTTTTAATACTCATCATGGATCCTTTGGGTTAAGTACAGCCATTCCCTTTCGCCTATAAGGAAACTGAGGCTCAGGGAATTTAAGTGGCTTGCCCAAATTTTTGTGATTTGTGTGTGACAGTGAGAACTCAGGTCTGGCTCCATAGCTGGTGCTCTTTCCCTGCTATCCCTGTTTCTCCATCCTGACCCTTCCCACTGCCTAGCACAGTGTGTGGCCCATAATAGGTTTTCAACAAATATTTGTTGAATGAATTAATGTTAGAAATCATGCAGACTTTAACAATCTGAAATGTAACCCACACATTTGATAAATGAGGAAACTGAGGTTCAGAGCAGTTTGGTTCCTCAGGCTTTTTACCTCGTTCCATAAACATTTAGTGAATGAACTGAGAGCTATGTGCTCAGTTCAGATCCATTTCTGCCTTCAAAGAACTTACAGTCTAAATTTGGAATATTGACAATTAATTGAAAGATAGCTAAGTTATATGTAATATACGTATGTACATGAACTACCTTAGTCCTTACAATAACTTTACTGTTATCTCCATTTTACTGAGAGGAAAATTGAGGCTCACGACGGTTACAGAGCTAGTGTTGGGTCTGGCACCAGGACTCCAACGGCAGGACTCTAGAGCCACTGCTCTTAACTGCTACTCCATACCAACTCCTAATATAGACACTTACAGTACAGGAGGCATTCGCTGTACTCGGGGCATGCATGGATGGGCTGTGGGATACCCAGCCCTGAAGGACAGGTGAAGTGTTCAAGACAAGGTGATGTGAAGATTTTAAATGACCTAGAGCTACAACAGGCCCACAGTTACCAGAACTCTGGGAGCATGTGGTGGTGGTGAAAGATAGGACTGGAGAAGGAAGCAGTGGCCAGGCCACGAAGGTCCTTATATGCTGTGCTCAGGAGCTGAGTGTTGATTTTGGAGATGTTCTCTCGGGAATAACTTAGATTCACACTGTGGAAAGGTCACCTTAGGTGTTATGTCCCTAGATATTGGGAGAAACAGGGGAGTGGCTTAGACAGTTAGGAGACTAATGTTGTAAAGAACTACAGTAGTGAAGGGTAGGGATGGAGATAAGTGGACAAATATGAAATATATTTTGAAATATATAATCAACAATATTTGGTGATTGTTCAGCTTGATGGGGAAGAGACAGAAGCCTAAGGTAACCACCTCTAAGATGTCTAACTTGAGCAGCTGAGCTGGTGCCCACTGAGATGGGGAAGAGACAGAAGCCTAAGGTGACCACCTCTAAGATGTCTAACTTGAGCAGCTGAGCTGGTGCCCACTGAGATGACGAACCAGAAGGAACGTTTCAGGGGAAATGAATTCAGTTTGAGATATGCTGAGGTGAAGTGCCTATGGGACGTCTAGGAGATGTTCAGGTGACGACGACTAACGACTAGGACACATTGGTCTAAAGCTCTGGAAAGGTCTGGGTTGGAAGCACTCACATGGAAGATGCCAGCAGATGGATGAAGCCACAGAAGTCGATGAGAACATGTGGAGTGGGGAGAGCAGAGGGCCAAAGAACGAATCTGGGAACACTACATTTTTAGGACTGTTCTGGTGTTCTCTCCACCACCTCAAAGAGCTTTTTCTTACCCTGTGGTTTCTAGTCAAACTAAATAAAGACACACATTTTTATCCATCTGGTTTATTTGCCAATAGGTCCAATTTCAGATCTGACGCCCCTTCTTTAGTTAAATTGTCACTAAAGAAGGTCAGGGAGACAACTTCAGAATTTGGATTGGGAGAGGGGTAAGCATGGAGATGCTGGGATGGTGGCGGGAGGGGTGGGGCTGAGTCCCTCAGGAGTAACTGCCTGGCCCTCCCAGGGGAATGACGAAGACTGAGATGTCATCCCCGGAACCCAGCTTGTTGTTGGGGAGACGCCAGCCACGGTCCCGGGGAGTGCCCCGGGCGCCCAGCACCAGAGCTTGGGCCAGAGCTGTGTACCTGCCAGAAGCACATGTACACATTCATGAACCAACATGTATATGGAAAGATAGAGAGACAGGCCCTTATGTTGGTCCCCAAGCATTGCTTCCCTTTGTCCCTTCCTTCCCCATTGTCATCCCCTCACTGCCATACAACCCCTACCTGCTGGGGTCATTGGGCTCATAGGCTGACAGCACCCTGTCCACAGTGGCGGCTACCTCACAGTCACTGGTGACATCCCACAGCCCATCTGTTCCCAGGACCAGCACATCATCTGGGCAGTGCTCGTACTGTGTCAGGTCATACACTCGCACCTGGTAGGGAAAGAGGTGGAGAGGGAGCTTGTTGACAAGGCACCCTGAAGAAAGCCAACCTGAGACCCCAAGGGGAGGGAAGGTATGGTTAAGGAAGCCCTCTTACAGCTCACCTCAGGGAAACAGGAGAGGAAAGGCTTGATGGGCAGGGTGGAGCTGCAGACCTTCAGGTTATGGTCCCCCAAGCCCCGGGTCACCCCAATGGTGGCCATCACTCGAGCCTAAAGGAAATGAGGTGGGGGTGCTGCTATACCCTCTCCCAGACTCTGAAAGTGTGGATGCTCCCTCCCCTACCCTTGGGTGGAACCCCCACCTCCCTACACGAGTTGTGATGGGTCCTCCTGCCGTCTCCCACCTCTACCGTGGAGTTTACCTTTTTGCCCTCCCCACAGACCAGAGGAAACCTGAGATCCTCCAGCTCGATGTTTTTGTAGGCCCTGGGGAGAGGGGAGCAGAGGAGGCATCACCCAGGCATCAAAACCCCTCTCCCCTAGAAGCCACACCCCTCACACAAACCCCTAAGAAGGGCCACATCCCTCAACAACCAGTCTGGCCCAGCCTCCAGTTTCCACCTTGCTGCCGATGAGGGACTGGTTACGTTGCCATGGGAACGGGCCCCAGCTCTGAGAGAAGTGTTACCTACCAGCCAGTCATGTTCTGGTCCCGGTACAGCATCCTCTGCCCCACCTCCTTGGGCTGAACTCTGCGGGGGAACTCAAGGTGGGTGAATTCACTACCCAGCAGCTCTGGTTTCAGGAAGCCCTGGGGTCAGGAGTAGCCAGACAGAGCAGAGGGCCAGGAGTATTAGGCTTACATTACACCCCGGTGTATAGATGTTAATTACACAGCACACCCTTACTGGAGCTTACTACGTGCCATGCACTGTTCTCACACTAACATAATCCTCATACAATGCTTAAGGCAGGACCTGTTGGTGCAAGGTGGGGAATGCAGAAGGTCACACAGTTAGTGAAGTACTCAAACCAGGATGCACTTGCAGCAGTCCAGCTGCAGAGCCAGTGTTTTAGAATATTAAACCATACTCCGTCTCATGGGCCTTTACTGTTCTCTCCCACCATCTCTGACTCCAGTTCCTTCCTCAGCTGGGGCTCCAGTGGGAGCACTGGGGCAGCCCACACACCTTCCTGCTATGTTCTGCACCACATCAGCCCTGCACTCCACAGTGTGCAGAGCAGCCCTGCCCTGAGGTGCCAGGAAGGAGTTGTCTGTGTGGTGTGGGTAGGAGAGTCTCAATACATAGGGTACACAGAGCACAAGACTCACAAGGAATAGGAATAGGGAGTTAAGCTCCTACTTACAAGCAACTGAAGACGCTGGCGCTCAGTCTCTGGGGTGAACTCACGGGACATTGGAATGATTTCACCATTCCGGACAATGATGGCTCTGCCCAAAGAAAAGATTTGGGGTTGCCTCTTCTCAGCCCCCTTGTGGAAAATTCAAGAAAGGCAAGACCTTTCCCACAATGATCCTTAGGATCCCTCACCCAGACTCCCATCTTCCCTCCCCTTGTGGCTATTTCAGGCCCTTCTGTGTGTCTTCCTCCTGATCCCTCTAATCTTCAAGTTTTAACACCCGCAACCTCACTCCCTTCTCTCCCCCCATTCCAGAAAGTATGACCCTCTGTAGCCTTTTTCAAAGCCCCCCCACCTTACCTGCTGTCTCCGGCATTGGCCACATACACCTTGCCTAGCAGGTAAACCACAACCAGTGCACAGCAGCCCCCCTCCACTTGGTGGCCACGCCGCTCCCGGGCCATCTGTTCATCCTGCCATGTGAGGAAGGATTAAAGGGGCTGGATGAAGAAGAGGTTCCAGGTACACAGGCCCTACTCCTGCCGCACCAATCTACAGAAATGAACTGTCCCAGCCAAGCCACAATGGAGGAGAGGGAAGACACAGGTAAAATCGTCTCTTCCCCCTCCCCTCTGAACCAATCTTTTCACACCTTCAAAGGCGTGTGGGTTCTCAGGGTCACCCCCTCAGGCCACCTGACTCCCATAGAGTTGACTAGAATGTCTGCCTACCAGCCCTTGAGCTGGTAGACCTACTCACCATGAGCTGAAAGGCATTCTCGATGGCTCCCACTACCAGGCTCTCATGGGTCACTTCCTTCTGTGAAGACCAGCAGGACTGAGGACCAACCAAGTGAGTGGGATCAGAGGAACCCGGGGCCCCTGGAGTAGACGGGAGGCAGAGGGGAGGTGGCGAGGGGTCCTGGAGTATGTCAACCAGGTCCTTTAGCTGCTCCCGGATGTGGCGATGCAGGACCCTGGAGGCCATTTCAGCAGCTCCGCCCCCTGCATGCCCATCAAAGAGGCCCCAGTAGTAGAAGCAGAGTCCCTGGTGGAGGAAAAGTTGGAGATGAGTGTGTGTGTGTGAGATGCAGAGAAGAGCAAGGCTCTGGGCATCCATATAAGCATCACACAGGAAGTCAGAGCTTGGTATTAAAGGCAAATTAGATTTATTCACTTATTCACTAAGGGCCTACTATATGTTAGAAGGTAAAGCATCAAAAAAGCCAAACTCAGAGGATAAAACATGTAAAAATAAGGGCTGGTAATTAACTAAACCATCCATAAATACATGAGCATCTACAGTTTAAGTGGAAAACTAAACATGCATACTGACACAGTAGAATCTAACTAATCTATGCCAGATAAAGGTTCTGTGCCAGAAGGCAGGCAGCTAGTGAGTTAGGAAGTCAGTCTTAGACATATCTCAGATTTAAAATCAGATGCAAGGCTCCTGAGGAGAGGTCAGGAAAGTGGGTGGGGCTTACCTGGCTTTGGCTAGGATCCCTGGGTGCCCCTGAAACACTCCTCCGGCCTTCCACATACACTGCTTCACAGCAAGCCTGATCCTCATTGTGCCGGCTCTTTCCAGCATTGATGACCCTGCCAGGCCAGAGTGACCACATCAGGTTGGACACCAGACCAGGTCCTGGAATAACCCTCACCTCAGACACACATACCCTCTCTGGCCTGCTGGCCAAGCTGAGAAAGGTCACTGCCACCTGGGATCCAGGCCAGAGGGAGGAGGAGAAGGGAGCCACGTCAAAGGACAACAAGTACTGTTAATGTGTCAGGCCCCACTGCATCATAGAAAGACCAGCAGCAGCCCATGCCTGCCTCAGTTCTCCCATCCCTGGCAAAGGGGGCAACCCTAATGGTGCTGCTGGGGAAGGGGCTGTATAGGGGGTTGTAGGTTTTACTTTCCTGTTTGCCAAGACCCTACATTCCACCCTGAACCCTAATCAACTCTTCTGGTGCCTTGTCCACAGCATCCCACCCTCATGGGCACACCCACCTTTACCCTAAAATCATCCAGTGAAAGTTTTTGCTGCTTTGGCAATGAGGAAGGGCTCCAGCCCAGACCAGGAAAGAGGAATTGAAATAGGGTGGGAGTGGAAACCCACCTGGATTGCACAGGAGCCACATAACTACCAACTCTTCCCAAATAGGGAGCTAAAGGAGCTGGTGGTTGGCGCCAGCAACCACCACCTTCAGCGGCCCCATCTCCCTTAATGTCCAGCTTTCCCATCAGATGCATTAAAAATACATGCATCCTGGGAGCAAGGCGGCTGCTCCAGCCTCTTGGGCGGCTCCGGCCGAGGTCCACTTCCTAACCCGGCCAGCTCAAATCCACCCACCGAAGGGCGTTCAAAGGGATCCTCCCGCCTCTCCGGGCGGTCCCCTCCCCCGCCCCTGGGGAAGTCGGCAGCCGCCTGGTGTCGCGGGCTATTTCTGGGTGTGGAGGGGGAGGGGAACCGTAAGAGGGACAGGGAACTGGGGCGCTGGGGTCCGGAAGCCCAGGAGCGAGTCTTTCCAGCAGCCATCTCCTCTATTAAAAGCGACCTCCTCTCCTTGAAACCCCTCCTCCCTTAGCCATTAAACTGCAGGGCAGCGACTGAGAACTGGCCAACTCATCCTTCGCGGGGCCCTCCACCCTCCCGGCTCCGGAGGGGGAACAAGGTCCTGAGGCGGCGCGGATGAGGGTAGTCAACGATCTGGAAGGTCCTGAAGAAGACTGCACCCGACTTGAGGAAGGGCTGGGAGGGGGTGCGGCCCGAAGCCCAGAGGATAGCTAAGGTCTTGGGAAAAGGAGCTCCTGGCGCCAAGCGCAGCAAGGGGGACGCATCTCAGCGCCGGGGATGCAAAGCTGGGGAAGGGGTTTGTGGTGATGGGAGGTCCCATCCTGGTTAGATTGTTCCCGGGGGCGCTCACTCGGCGTAGCCCGTGCTCCAGGGCAAGCGACGGCCGGTGTCCGGAGGGCTTTGAACAGTCCGGCCAGCATGGTCGTCGGCGCGTCGCAGCCCCCCTGGGCTCAGCTGCAGAAAGGTCGGTCGCGAGAAGCTCGCTCGAGCCTCTACAGTCTTCGCGGGCGCCGCGCTCCCGCTCCCAGTCCTCGCCGGAGAGCTCCGGAGCCCTTCTGAATGGGCGGCGGGTGGCGCCGAGGTCACGTTGGGCAGGTCTGGGGACTTAGGGCGCGTAGGCGGGGCGCCCCCAGAGCTCACCAGGTGCGCCACGGCCGAGCGCACCCGGTTTAGCATGCTGCCTCCCTGCCCCGCCCTCGGCCGTGGCCCCGCCCCGTACAGGCCCCGCCCCCTAGGGCTTGCGGTGGGCGGTGCTGGCTCCTGCCAGCTCTTCTCTGCCATTGGCTCTGGGAGGGCAGGGCCGGACTCTGGCAAAACTTCCTCCTGCTCTGGGCCGCCCCAGGGACCGCTTAGCAGCTTGGGCCTCTTCCCCGCCAGGTTCGGCTTCGCCCCGCCCCAGTTTCTTTGGGGAAGAAGGGTCTGCCGTCATGGGAAGGTGTCAGAGAGAAGGAAACCTTATTTTAGCCACGCTCTAAATTAGACATCATGTAGAACTTCCCCATTGTGACAGGAAGGTAGTGTCTCCTTGCCCTAGGTCGCTGTGGCCAGCCTGCCCCGAGGGTGAGGAGCTGATGTCCTTAGAGAGAAACCAGCCGCCTCGGCGACCTATGGGTGTGAAGCACCTGGTGTGACAACACCTCCGGCTGGGGCTGCTGGAGTGAGAGTGAGGGCGAGCGAGCTGGTGTGGTGCTGAGGGTGATGAGGGGGTGGGAACAACGCAGGCTGGGGCCCCGCGTCCTGAATTAGGTCGCTGAGGGTAGGTTCCTGGGCTCCTGATGCCGCTGTACAGGCTGAAGACCATCTCTAGATCTGGGAGAGCGGTTGCTGCTCTGACTCCGCTTTTTTTCTCAGAACCCAATTTCCCCCCACATTTAGATCTCCCCTGACCACGGCAGGGCTAGTTGATAAGGGCACCAACAACCACCATTTATTGAGGACTTAACTACATAATAGGCCCCCAACAAAGCACTGCCCATTACACTAGGCCATTTCTAAAGCCCACCACACTTCGAGGTGGGATTTATTTATTTTACGTATGACGCGCCTTTTTATTTTACATGATTTGCCCCAAAAGGTCACACAGCCAGTGAGAGATTCACACTCATGTTAGTCGCTGGACGCCCAAACCCAATTCTGTTTTAAGGACCAAGTCAGGATCAGGGAGAAACGGTTAAGAGGGAGGTGATGGCAGAGAAGATCCTGAGGGCTCTCTTCGCTCTTCCTCCTGCAGACGCTGAGAGCAGTTCGGCGATGCTGAGCAAGTCCTGTGACTGCCGCCAGACGGCGACAGAGGCCAGGCTAAGCGCCTACCTGAGCCGGGAAGATGGCAATGACCGGGTACACGAAGAGCTCTGTTACTAAACCTGGTTTGGGTTTAGTATTGATCGCTAGGCCTCCAGAGACACTTCCTACCCCACGCATGGCCCAAATGGGACAAGGCCCTGCGGCCCTAATGCAAGTTGGGGATAGCCCTCAAGTCCCACTGGCACTCCGTTCATAATTGAGACTCTACCTCAGGGCTCTGCAGGCAGGGTGCTTCTTAACTATCATCTTCTCACTTTCCAGGCTGAACTGTGGTCTCTTCCTGGGCTAACCAGAAGGGTGGCTTTCCTGGTAGCTTCCAAATAAAAATCTCATAATGGTCAGTCAGGTTTTTAGACTTACTGTAATTATACCTGCACTCTTGGCAGAGAGAACCAGAAAAAAGAGGGCACAAAGTGGGGTGGGGAGGGGAAAGCAGACCCAAAGGCACATAGAGTGGCACAAGCAGACAGGAGGTATAAAGAACACGCTACTGTGGGTATTTCCCTGTTTGAGAAAAACTGGAACCAGCTTTCAGATAAATGGCATACACAGCAGCAGCAGGCCAAGGACTGAAGAAAAAAAATAACATCTTGGCTATTTTTATTATTCAGTGTTTCTGGGACAGTTTGGTTACCACTTCTCTGTGTCACCCAGCTCCCTAATCCCTGCTCTGCACAGCACCCACCATGGTGTGGCTGCAAGTGGGTACCAGTGCCAGGACCCAGAGACCCCCTAGCTCTGACAGCAGATGATCAGCAAGGATGTCAGCAGCCCCCATGGCCTCCAGGACAGCACCCAGCCACACCCAAATCCCAAGGCTCTCCTTTCTCTGAGTCTCTTTCCTACTATTCCTGGCATTATAACACATGCCTTAGACTGCCCCAGAACTTGGTGAGAGGTCATCACCTCTACTCATCCCTGAGGCAGCAGAAAGTGAGAAAGTTGGGGTGGGGTAGGAAGAAGCAGACCTGTGAGCTAGGCTATGCTGAGAACTGAAACTGCTCGGTGGCTGGCCCTGCCAGGAATGTGTGCAGCCTCAGCTAGGGAGAGGGACTGGGCATCCTCAAGACAGTCCCCTTTATCCCTGGGGCCACAGGCAGTGTCTCAGAGCTCAGAACAGGACTTCTTACCCTTGCCACTCACCTCCCCATTACTCCAACCCCCAAACCTCCCTCCTGTTAAGAAACAAATCCACAGACTACCACCCTTTCCCATTTGTCTAATATTTCCACATCCAAAATCTTACCCTGTAAAGGATTATAAAATTGCAATTACATTGCCACTTTTATAATGAAGAAATTGGGACTCTGGGTTTGGTTCCAAGTTGGGGTCTACACCCCTCACTCATAGGGCCCATTCAGCCTATTTCAGCTCTCCTGCCCACCCCCTCTCCCCTCATACTTCACCCACATCCTTCCCACCCCTGAGGATGCCACTCGGGGTAGAGATCATTTGCTATTCTCTCCTGGATTCTAATATTTTAATAGCAGAAGGCTAACATAATCTAGAAGAATGTTGCTGAATACAACTTCGTGCAATAATGGGAATGCTTTATATCTTTTCTGCCCAGTACAGTAGTCCCTAGCTACATAGGGCTGTTCAGCACTTGAAATATGGTGAGTAGAAAAGAGAATCTTAGTTTTTAAATTTAAATCTAAATTTAAATAGCCGCATATAATCAGTGGCTCCCGTATAGACAGCGCAGTTCTCGAATCTTCAAGCCTCACAAACTCCTCACACTGAGCCACCACAGCCACCCCGGAAGCCACTAGACCTTGAGAGTTTGGGGACCTTTCTTGAGTTCCCCAGGCCTGCACCCGGGAGATGTTCGTCGGGAAGGGACCGCGGGCGCGGGGGGGTCCTCTCCTCCCTCTTCGTGCCTCGGCCACTAGGGGCAGCTGCGCCCCGGCTGTGCCCGCTGGTCCTGCCGAGCGCTCCGCGCCGCGCCCGGCGCTGTCGGGAGGGAGGCGGCGGTCCCAGCGCTGGGCGGGCGAAGCCGCGGCGGCCCGGGCGACGAGGCGGAGGCGGCGGCTGCCCTCTGCCTGGCCTGCTGGTGGCAGCCTCGCAGGGACTCCGGGCGAGCTCCGCCGGGCTGTCCGGGCCGGGCCGGACCCGGAGCTCCGATTGGCAGAGCTGGGCCCGGACGATCCCACTGTCAGTTTGGCCAGAGTCCCCGACGCCTCCCGGACGCCGCAACTCGGTGCGGAGCACAGGAGTACGGACGAGACAGCACCCAAGCTGGCCGCTCCAGCCTTAAGTACGCCTTTCGGAGTCTTAATATCGGGTTCAGAAGCAAGTGGGTCCTGCCGTGGGGCAGGTAGGTGCTAGCTGGGGTTGGGGGATCAGAATTTGGAGGAGTGGGCCCTAGTGGGGGAGAAGGGAGGGAAAGGTTGAAGGTTCTCGGGGTTCACAACCTCCACCCCCTGCTGGTGTGCAGCCTGCTAACTCAGCTTCACCGCAGCCTGGATTGGCGTTTGGGGAAACAGTCTGGGAAACTGAGGCAGGAGTATGAAAGCCAGAGAGGAAATCCCACAAGCTTCGTTTCCACCTCTCTCTGGGGGAAGAAACAGAACGCCCGCCCCACCTCTTTCGGGTCTGAGGGTGCATGGGAGAGATGGGGGAGTTGGTAGGAGGCCGTGGCTGCTCAGCAAGAAATGGGATGGGGACTGCCCGAGAGAAGACACAGCTGTGTGTGTGATGATCAGAATGAAGGTTCCTGATGGGCACAGGGAAAGGAGAGGTACATCTGGGAGGCTGGGAAGCTTTCTGCCTATGGAACACACATCCCTAGGCTACCGGCACCACTTCTTCATCTGCCCCCGTCCTTCTCTCTGCTCCTTCTCTCTGGCTCTCACTCCAGGGAGCAGGATTCTCGGTCTTCCTGGGCCCCACCATGCTGCCTCCATTCCACCTCCCTTTGGAGGCTGAGGGAGGAGAGATTTTAGGCAGAAATGGAGAAGCGGCTGGGGCTGGGGCCTCTGAGGCTGAGACGTGGAAGACCCTCATTCTAGGTCTCTGGAGCAGGGGTGAAGGTGGTAGAGTTGAGCTAGCTCCGTGTAAGTCCAGGAAGTAGGTGTGACAGGGGTAGGAGGTGAGGCAGAGAATTCAGGATTCCAGGGGGCACCCCCAGGTGCCTCTTCCAGCATGTATTTTGTCAGATTCTGCTCAGGGAACCCTTCTCTGGCCTTAAGCTCCCTCGCAAGACCAGAGACACCTCCGCACCACCAGCCCTGTTTCTCTCTTGGGACAGAGAAGCCCTCAAGCTACTGTTAGGCTCCCCCACCCTACATGTTCCCAGAGTCTTCAAGGACCCCTTCGAATTCCCAGGGCAGAACCCCTGCCCTGGCACATTGGGGAACAACTTCCAGACTGGGCTGTACTCCCAGCCTACTCCCTTCCCTTCACTTACACCCTCCCTCACCCCCTGAAGGACTGTAGGCTCCCTTTGTCCCTTGCAACCTCACAAAAATCTTTTCTCCTTGTCTAGGTAGGGTGAGTCTGAGGCAGTCAATGAATAGACAGAAACTGAAAGATCCCATAAGAGGTGAGTGAGCAGACAGTTGAAGAGGGGGAGGTGGGTGTAGACAGAGATCTGGCACCCTATCCAAGAGAGCAGTTGGTCCTGGCATCTGGTTTGGTCACTGGTGTTCCCAGCAATGTGCTGGCACCTGAGGGATCTCCGCAATGCCCCAAGGGGCCAGCAGGGCAGCGGGGGTTGGGGTGGGGGTGTCCAGGCCTCTTCTATTCCTGGGCCGCTCCCAGCTGCTCTGAGCCTCTGCTTCCTTGGGACTCTCTCCACTTTTAGCCCATCCTCTGAGAGAGATTTGGGAGGCCTGCACCATCAAGGACAGAGGAGAGGGAAAGGGGAAGACAGCAGAAGCAAGACGGTGGCTTTTGGGCTGTGGGCTCTGTCACCCACGTGCCACCCTGTCTTGAGCAGTTCATTTGACGTCTCTTAGCCTCAGTTTCATTTATTCCTTTTTAAATTTCTATTTGTTTACATTGAGTTGCTAGTACATTGCCCTGGTTCAAAACCCAGAAAGTAAGAGTAATAAAGAGAAAAATAAGTCTCCCTTTTACCTCTGTCTCTCAGCTTCTTGGTGACAACTAATGTTATTACTTTTTGTTTTTCACATTTCCCAGAGTTAGCTCACACATATTTGAGCAACATATATAATCCCTCCCTTTTAACACATTTTATATACACCATTCTACACTTTGCTTTTTTCTCCTTATTGGTGAATTGTTGTTAAAGATCATTTACATGCCTCCGTACATAAAGCATTTCCTCATTCTGTTTCACAGCTGCATGGATGTGACTGCATTTGCACAGATGCTCCTATTGTATTTAGCCAGTCCTTTATTAATGGTTGTCTTAGGTTGTGTCTAGGCTTTTTGAGTATCAATTTGCTCATCTGTAAAACAGGTACAAATAATCCTACTTTGTAGGGAGGCAGTTGTGAAGGATGCAAGAGTGTGTATGTGAGGCACCTGGGTCAACGGCTCAAAAAATGGGAGTCTTTATTATTGTTCCTCCCGTGTCACAGCCCTCCATGGGACCATGTCTGTTCATCTTTTAAGACCCCTCTTAAGTGTCATCTCCTCCACAAAGCTTCCCATTCTTTTCCTAGCAGGACAGTCTCCCTTCCTGAGCCCTTTTCTGCTGTAGCACTCACCACTCCCTACAGTCAGTTTGTGCCAGGCTGAGAGCTGCCTGGGGATAACAGTGTGCATCCTACCCATCTCTGTGCCTCTCAGAGCACACGGCACAGAGGTGCTTCGCTGGGCGCTGGGGGAGTTCCTGCCCAGAGTCAAGCAGGGTGTGTGCTTCTCTCTGCAGGATGCGTGAGAGGGCCTCTTGGAACCGGAGCATAGGCAGCTGGCTGCTGCCACTTGGCCTGGCCTGGCTATGGAGCCCCCTGACCTCGGCTTCCTTGCAGCCTCCAACTCCCACAGGTTTGGGGGAGGTGGCAGGGCCTGGGGAGGGAGTTTCCCAGGATACCGGTAGAGCAGACACCACCCCACCTGGTTGCAGAGCAGGCAGATCTCCAAGGGAGAGTAAAAGATTCTAGGGATTCTGGCTCTTCCTCTGTTCTTCATCCCGAAAACTCTGCCTGCTCTTCTATTTCACCCTAGAGAAAGCTCAGGCAGACCCATTACTCACCTTCCCTTCCAGGCTGGAAGGTGTTCTGCAGGGAGAGAGTCCCTTGGTGGGGGCTTAAGATTAGCCTCCTGGCCTAATTCTGTGGTATCCTTCTGGGATGGCTAAAGCCTGTGTAAGCAGATGATCCTCCCCACGCATTGTAAGCCCCAATGCCCCGGGGGCCCTTGCCCTACCCCAGAGGAAGCAGGGGAGGGGGATAGGTGTGGGATTCCATTCTTTCTTCTGCCCAAGGGCCAGGCTCTGCCAAAGGGTGATGAGTGTGGCCTCACTGGGGAAGAAGAAAGGACAGGAACACTGAAGCAGCAGGACAATTTCATCTGTGTTTACTTCTCCACAATTGGAAATCTCTTCCACACCCCTCCCCTCGGCTGGGAGAAGTGCCTGGAGGACTGCCTGGGCAGGAGGGCAGGGAGCAGGGCTGCAGGCCTGGGCTGGGCACCTGACCTTGTGTGGGCCCCCTCAGTCCTTGTGAAGCAGGGCACCTGCGAGGTGGTCGCTGCTCATCGCTGCTGCAACCAGAACCGTGTTGAGGAGCGCTCCCAGACTGTCAAATGCTCTTGCTTTTCTGGCCAGGTGGCAGGCACCACATGGTCAAGGCCCTCCTGCGTGGATGGCGAGTGAGAGGCCAGACCTGGCAGGGAGGGCCTGATCAGACAGATTAGAAGGCCTTTCTAGGCCTGGCCATCTGCTGAGGTACAATTTCATACCCATCTCAGGGCTTTCATTTCCATCTCAGAGCCTCAAAATGATGGGTAGCCACCAGGGGAAGGAGGGCAAGTGTGACCACCCCGTCTCATAGACAGGAATGGCTCCCGTGTGTCCCCCCAGCCAGGCACGGACACAGGCATGTGCGCCCACTCAGATCCTCTCACACCTTCTGTCTCACTCATGCTCCACATTAACTGCTTCACCTGCTGCTCCTCCCCCGGCCTCTTCCACATGCCCTCCCCTCAGTTTCAGGCAGCTTTTCCCCTCCCCTCATGTGGACTTTGTGGGCCCTCTCCCTGCATTCCTTCACACCGCCCCCCTTCCAGGCCTACCCAGGCTCACCTCCTGCTCACGTAGCAGTGCTGTAAATGTGCTTGCTTATGCACTCTTGGTTTGTGGGGTCCTCCAAACGTCTTACACACTTGCTCACACACACTAAGTGGGTATGTTTAAGACTGTGCCTGTCTGCTAATGACTCGGTGGCTCAACCCAAGGGTTGCCTTAGAGACCACCCCCTGTCCTCACCCCGTGCTGTCTGGTGAGATGGAGGGTAGTGGGGTGAGGTTGTGTGCCCTCGCCTCAGCCTGAGTGCTACCTTTCTGGGAAGCCCAGAGTAGGGGAAAGACCAGGGGAGCCAGCGATGTGTGGAAAGCTGCACTTCATTCAGCAAAAAAAAACCCTTGACTGCCAACTGCATTCACAGAGGGCTTGAGCCACCCTCACTGCCTCCTGCTCCCACAGCCTCCATTGTCCTGCAGAAGTGCTGGAGTCACATGGAGCCCTGCCTGCCTGGGGAGGACTGTAAAGTGCTCCCGGACCTGTCTGGGTGGAGCTGCAGCAGTGGACACAAAGTCAAAACCACCAAGGTACCCAGGGATGGCACTTCAACCCCCCAATTGTACCCCTTCGCCAGGAGCCCTGGGGGGCTGGGATGTCTGTGTCCCAAGGTGAGATCTGTAAGCCATGCGGGCACATCCCCAGGCAGTCCCTGAGGTCCGTCTTGACTCTGGGGCCTGGAGTTAGGGCCTCTGGATTTGAAATGTGATGTCTTTCTGAGCAAATTCCTGGTGCTGCATATGCTTTGGTTTCCTCCTCTGCCTGCAGTGAGTCGGCCTCCCAGAAGATGTCAGAGCCGTGTGGACAAAGTAGAGAAATGAGGGAATTATCTAGATAATTCAAAGGGGTAGCTCTCCTGTAGCCACTTGACCTGCCCCCACACATCCCCGGTTAACTCCCTGTGACTTCACACCTGTCTTCCCAGTGGAATTGTCCTACTGTGCCTGCACCCAAGAGGGTTATCATTTTCATGGTTTGCAGCCCACGCCGTAGAACAAGGGGTAATTAAAATTTTATCAAACTCGTTAGCAGTTCCATGTGTGTCATGGTTAATCAGTTGTGTCACTCTGTCATCACCATTTGTACAGATGAGTGACACTGGGGCACACCGGAATCTGCTTTCTGCCCTCTGCCCTCCCTTCCCACCACCACACATAGCAAACAAGCAAACAGGTGAACACAGAAAGGAAGGGTGGCCTTTGGGGTTCTGAAGAGAGCAACGTTTTCATGGAGCACAAAACAGAAGGAGCTACAGCAAGAAAAAGCATGGCTGGATATAAAGCAGAGCTTTCTATATGCAGATAGGCAAGGGAAACAGCCATTCTGAGTATATTTAGGACTAGGAGAGAATGAGACCCAGCACAGAGTTTGTGACATTTGTTACTATTTTATAGGTTTGAGCTGGCAGCAATGACATCTACCTGACTTGCATCTCCTGGGGAGTCATAAGGGTGCTGGGATGGGACAGGCACTCCCTTCTCTAACCTTCGCATCCCTTGCTCTCTAGGTTAAACGATAGCTCTTGGGGTCACGGCCCGTACAGGATAGCTTGCCTCAGCCATGGACTATGGAGTACCAAGAAGGGTATCCAGTTAACAGCCAGCAAACATGGAGACTCACTTACCCAGACACACACCTCTGCCAAGTGGAGCATCACTGTTTCCAGGGCCATTTCAATTGAGCTGCTCAGTGGATATGGACAGCTGTCCAGCCGCATGCCTAGTGTTGTGCTGGGTTCTCCTGGGTGACACAGAAGGTCAAGATACAATTCCTGCCCTTAAGGAATGTCCAGTCAAGTTGGAGAGTTGATGAAAGGTAATTTAGATTAAAGGGTATGATACCAGACTGTGGCTCTGGTCATATGCTCCGGGCATTTGGGGATTTGAAGATGAGACCCCCACAGCTCTTCAGCTACTCTCTGGCCATGGTACAAAGACAAGAGGTCACATTCACTTCTCACTGCTCTATCTTTCACTTCAGTCTGGAACCCAGCAAGCTGCTAATGTGTTGAAGGAGAACAGTTGCTCTTGTGTTAGACCAGCTGCATCTCATTTGGATGGGACTGGATTAACCTGGGGAAGGAAAGTGCAGATGAAGCCAAACAATTTCCCAGAGAAGCTTCTGCAGAGGAGTGGACTGGTTTGGGCTATTTATTGGGTACGGGATGGATGGACCTTCAGATCACCCCCATCCAAGCACCTCAGGTTTGTCTTTTGTTTGTTTGTTTACTTGTTTTAACAGCTGAGGAAACAGAATCCCAGAGAGGTGAGGTGATTTGCCTAAAGTCTCACAACCTGGGCTCCCAGGTCTCTCAAACTGCTAACCTTTCACTTTGCCTGGATATGGGATTGCAGCCTGGGCTTTCCATGTTGTTTTTATTTCAAGAACAGGAATCTGCAAAGAACTTGCTGGACAGCAGCAACATTTTTCTCAGGAGGTGCTAGAGCAGGAACTCCTACCAAGGTCACTGTTTTCCTAGCTGAAATAATCCAGAATATGTGGACACCGGGATGTGAGGCCACTGGGTCTCCACTTTGCCCCAAAAAATTCCAAACAGGCTCGTGGCAGCCCAGAGGTCACTCAGCCCATTACCATGGCTGGGCACTCTGAGCTAGCAGCCCCACTGTGTGCTATGGCCCAGCTCTTCCAGAGTCCTTATGCTGTAATTCCAGAGGCTCTGGCTCCAAGAGAGCATCCAGGGCTGGTCAGGGTCCACTGCCTTCAAAGGCCCTACTGGGCAGGAGAGGAATCCCTACTGGGCTGGATGGACCTCTGTCCAGGATTGAGGGTTGGTACATTCAGGCTGACATACAGACTTCAAGGACTCAAAGACATGGGCTATTTGGATACCTCATCAGTAAGAGAATTACAGCCTCAGCGACAGCTGGAATCCGCTATGGTCTTGCCAATGGGTTTCAGCCCTGGGCAAGTTCACTATGAATTCAATGTGACCAAAGAAATTAACAGCAAAACGTTCTTGGGGTGAAAGTGTTATACCCAACTTTATTTCCAGGTGGCAGGTCAGTCACTAGAATCCCGTTCACTCAGAGCGAGTCTGCACACAGCAAGCCGGTCTCTGCCTCTGGGCCTCTGTCCTCGGCGCTGCCACCACTCCAGCCTTGCTCTGCTCTCCTGCAGCCTTGCAGCCCTGCCACCATGTCATGTACAGAGCACTGGGCAGAGCTCTTTATATAGAGTCAACAGCCATGTGTTGCTCACAGGTGTGCAGTGAGCTAGTCAACCAGGGCCAGGTGAGAATCTTGGCCACAGGAACTCTCATTTTATCCACAGCTGGGATTTCCAGGATTGCAGCATGTGGTGGGAGCCTTAAAGGGAGGAGTGTCAGCAGAGACCAACCTGGACCTTGCTGAATCTTGACCCTCAGAGAAGATAAATAATATGAGGGGTTGAGGCTGTCCTGCCCATCCTTCCCATACAGTAGGACCAAGACTGTTTCCCCCACTCTAGGGTTTATCTTCTTGATTTTGGTTTGGTTTGGTTTTGGTAATGGGGTAAATGATGATGCCAGCTTATCACTAGACTGTAAATCAGAGCTAACAATTTTGAATCTCTGTACATAGTGGGGTCACAGGGTAGGGTAGTCTAGAAGCAGGTCAAAGGAGCATCACCTCCTGCAAGGCTGGGGAATGGATTAAGGGGTTGGCGGACTTTCTGGAAAGGGCCAGATAGTAAATATTTTAGGGTTTGCAGGCCACGTAAGGTCTCTTTGTTGTTTTGTTCTGTTTTTTTTAGAAAAAAATGTGAAAACAATTCTTAGCTCAAGGACTGTACCAAACCAGCTCCCAGACCATTTTCAGAAGGATGCCAACACAAGGGAACCTTTGAGACAGACTTGGGACTGCCCCCCACCCCTGACCCCTACTCCTATGTTGCCTTTGGTGCAGCCGGAACCTGAGCATGAGGGCTGGGTGGGTTTTGTTTTCATTGTAATGCTCCTTGAGAGATTGGTAAGTGAATTATTCAGGCTACAAATGAGACAGCTTTCTCAGAGTCAGATGATAAGAGCTTGGTCCCCTGGAGGCCAGCATGTGGGCTTGCCCACTCCTGCCTCACCCACTGAGATTGCCCAGGAGGGAGGGGGAAGGCCCCAGCCCCCTGCCTGTTTGCTGCATTCAAAGCCACTGGACTATGAACTTGGAGGAAAACCGGTGAGAGTGGGGATGATGCTGTACAAACTTCCCCCACACTGAGCTGCCAGCCACCGTTAGCCCCTGCCTCAGCCAAAGTCCACATTCCCTGACCTCCCTCATTTCTGCTTATAGAGAAGCCATCTTTCCATTGGCACATGCTGGAATTTGCTAAATGATTTTTTTAACCCCTCAAAGCCTCTATTTCCTCCTGACCTATGAGGGAGTATCCTTTACATGGCCAGAAGATCCCCACATAGGAGGGTCTGGTGGATAAGAGATGGCATCCCACCTGCCAAGAGTAGCTGCCTAGGAGTCTGTCTCCAATTAAGTCAGTATCTGTACACATTTTGTAGCTACTTCTGGGGCAGTTAGGAATGCAAATTTTCCTGGAACATAGGGGTCCTGAGTCTTGCTTTTCTCTCCTTAGTGGGATGGGATCTGATTCTCTGAAGTTAGTTTGTATGCCCATCTCCTCAGCTGTGAAGATCTTAGGATGGTTGTCGACTATAGGAGATCATGTGGCTAATTTCTGTGACCCCCCTGGCAGTTTCATTAAGGCCTGTGAGTGACATCCCAGTTAATGGCCCCAGACAGTTGCCTCGAGTTGAAACTACAGCTTCCTAAAATCGCAAGCTTAGAGCTAGAAGAGAATTTAGAGATCATTAGCCAACTCTCTCTTCTGACAGATGAGGAAAAAGAGACTCACAGAGGTTGGGTGATTTGCTCCAAGTCTCCCAGCAAACTGGTGGCACATCCTGCCTAGTGACCCAGATGAGGGTTCTGTACACTACCGCATGTTGCCTCTTTGCTCCAGTTCAGATGAGGAGCTTGAAAAAAAGGCAGGCTTTTAGCAAGGATGAATGTGCAAGAGTCTTGTTACTAAAATTATTTAATCCTGTGAGTGCAGAAGGAAAACAAATGGGAAGCATTTAGAGATACATACACAGAAAAAGGGAGGTAGGGCCGAAAAGGAGGGGTTCTCATTCAGAACATCAAAATACCAAAGCACAGAACAAAATAATCAGAACAAAACTGAAGCCACATCATCCAAAACAGTTGACTTTTGCCTCTCATGGAGGTGACAGAATGGAACCCCTCTCAACCTTTGGAAGACCTGTGGAGCAACCTTGATGGCTTCTGAGTTCTTTAGACCCTACAGCAGTGGTCTGCAAACTAAGGCCCATGGACCAAATCTGGCCCACTGATTGTAAATAAAGTTTTATTGGAGTGTTACTGTGCTCATTAGTTCATTATTGTCTATGATTACTTCCCTGCTATGACTGCAGAGCCGAGACATTGCATGTGAATTGCATATGGCCCAGAAGGCCTAAAATATTCACTATTGGACCCTTCATAGAAAACTTCTGCCAACTCCTACTTAGCCTTATTATTGAACTTTTCTCATTACACTCATACACTCTGAAAATGATAACTCCATGTTGTATTTTGGGTGTGGGATTTTTGGGGGGACTGTGCCTGTGTACCCTTTAGTTTTTACCTAGAGCCACTTGTAATATATAACAACCAAAGAAATAAAGACATAAAGACTAAGACCAAAGGACAAGAGAAAGACTTGAAGCAGACAAGTCCTTTCCCTATATGTTGTTATACTCCAGATCAGTTCAGTTTGTTTTCCAAGTTGATGTAACTTCTACTTTTAAACTTAAGGACAGTAACTACATATGCACCCATGTGTAAAGATGCAATTGCACATGATGTATGCTGCTGCTGTTTCTGTGTGTCTGTAGATTTGTCTTTCCATGCCCACGAGCAATGCTGATTTTCAAAATATATAAAAACTAGTTCAGCACGGAGACCAACTAATTAAGACTGATAACAGTCTGTGTCAGCCCAGAGCACACTGGTCTCACATAGCCCAACACACAACTGCAGTTTCCCACTCCACTTTTTTTGGCTGAGTTGGAACTTCAGGAAAGGGGAGGGTTCATTTCTCCCTCCCCACATTGTGAGCAGCTAAGCTGGTTCCTGACTTCCTTGGGCTTGTGATTTGCCACTGAATGTGGGTCTGGATATTTGCATGGGTACAGAAGCTACTGGACTTAGATGGCTATAAGCACTGTGTTTGGAATAGACATGTAGACTGGGCATGAGGAACAGGCAACTGCTTTTCAAACCTTCCACAGGTGTACAAATTCCCCTTTAGTCTGGTTTAGGGAGAGAGGATTCCAGCCATTTTCAACGGCTGGGTTGACCTACATGCTGTGTGATTGGCAATACTCCATCACTTCCATCACCGAATGTTTATCATGTGTTAAGCACTGTGCTATGCATTTTGTATAGGTAATGGTATTTCACTAAATGGGACTTTTCCTATCTCAAAATTTGAGCAGCGGCTCCAAAGGTCAGGAAAAGAAAGGTAAGTATCAACTATTCTCAACTGCCCCCATTCTAAATCAAGATGCTAAGACTTTTTCTACAGAGTTATAAAAGAGATGGCCAACAGTCTGTTACCTACTGTCCAGCTGTATAAGAGAAGGCTAAGTGTTCAGGCTGAAAGATAAGAGGTCATAAGGATCCATCTGAAGAGGGTTGTCACTTCCTCCCGCAGCTGAGGGGAAGTTTTAGGTGTGGATTTTCTCTCACTATAACCCACTTAAGGGAGGAATTATGGAAAAGCACTCCAAGAACTTTATTTGAATCGATTGAAGCATGGGGCACAAAGGGATGCAGGCCTGAAAATAATCTGAAGGTGAGTGGCTGTGGTTGGTTCTCTGGCTTGAATAGTGAGTCTAGAGAACTATCTTGGGAATGAGCTGTACCTCTAGAGCTTAGCAGACATGCTTGTATGTTTTCTAAGGGCTCCTGTGGAATGCCTAAGAGAGCTAGCTGCCTGGCAGGGACAGGTGACCACAGTTAGGAAAGACTGCCCAAGCCATGAGGCTAAGAGGAGATCACAAATGGCCAGTAGGGAAGGTACTGCCCATGTAAATGGAAGACCCCAGCAACAGGGCATCTTCCAGAAACCTAGAAAAATGTCCCAGAAGACAATATCCAAACCCTGAGATGGAAAGAAATTTAGAAAGACTCATAGA